TATAATATATTTTTTAGATACTGGAAAATATTTATAAAATGCTATTTGATACTATTGAAAAAGTGTGTTTGAAACATAATTCTTCTACAGAACAATCTAACAAGATTCAAATAATTTTGAGTAACATATTTAATATTTTATGTAAAGCAGGATCAATTCATGTTGTATCTATAAATATGGCAATAATAGAATTAGTTTCAAAATTACTGCTTTCTGATAAAATTAAAGGTACCTATTTATATTTTTCTTGTAACTTATATTAAATATATGTCCACATTAAAATTTTAAAAAAGGTTGTAGATATAATAACTAACTCCTAATATATTCTATTCAACTTAATTTTTTCTTATAGTTGTGCTTTTAACTATACATATTAAGTAAAATAAAATATTTGTAAGAAATACATTTTACAAAATGTCAAACTTGCTTCATTATAATTAGGTTCTTTACATAAGTGCTCAATAAAATCATAATTTATTTTATTTTTAGTTACCAACAAATTGTCTGGAGCAATGTGTAACGTGATTAAAAGATTACTTGATGATGAAATTGTTGATCCTAATACAATTATTGAAAAATTACCATTGTGTCAATTGATCAATGTATCTTCACCTGTAAGTATTAATCTGATTTAATATTTTCTTTTTCATTATTTATTTAAATTTTGTAAAATGTTCATTAGAATTATATTAATAATCAGTTATTTATAATTGTTTAATTAATCTTAGTGACTAAAAAAAACTATAAAACAATGTGTACTTCATAAAATATTGTGTATGTATATTTTTATAAGTTTGTTCCTTTTATAATTAAGTCTGTATAACAGTTATATTCAATCTTAATTAGAGAGACAAATTAGTAAAATGTCAAATCATACATGTCAACAATGATGTATCCTCTTCATTAAGGGTGTATCCATGAACAGAAGGGAAACAACACTGAATATGGCCGGTCAAAGTAAAAAAATATGGTCCGGAATTATCGTATCCACCAGAATAAGCATCAGAAAGTATTGATGTTGTTTTTACATGTAAATCATTGGAAATGTATTTTTTTTTTATAATTATAATCTAAATAGTGAAACTTATGAATAATTACTATAGAATGTTTTTTTATGACCAAGTTGTTCTCGATCGAATATATGTGTTTCAAATAATGTATGATTTCTATAAAAAGAGATTAAGTTGTTTTAAAAACTACTTTTAAATTTTTCATATAAAATATATAGGTAATATAAACTATAATATCAATTCATGCGCTTYTTTACAATGCACTAATTGCTGTTACCAAATACTATAGAATATATTTATTGTATTTGCTGTCACCGCCTACAAATTATGATTGTCTGGTGTCTGCATAATAAGCTAAAGGCTCAATTAATGTCCATATRACCATAATCCATTCGGAAGATAAAATATAATATTCTGACTTCTGAGTAAGTATATTTATCATGAATAAATAATATTTTATAGTTATTTCAGTTATGATATTTACACTTAATTTTAAATAGGTACTTACGAATTTGTAAAAATCCCATAAATCGCAAATTAAATCTAATTCATATCACAACTAGGTTAAATATATATATATAATGAAATATCAAGTTTTGGAAATTTTATTATGTAATCACTGCTTACTAGTAAACTACATAATATATAAATTACTGTACATTTACATTTTATTTTTATGAGTTGTAATAAGATGMAATTATTGATATTATATTGCCTATTGATATATGTATGAAAAATTTGAATTTATTTTTTAAAACTATATCTCTTTATAGAAGTTGTATTTTATTGGAAATAAATATTCGATCGAGAACAATTTGGTCTTAAAAAATGTTCTATAATAATTATTCAGAAGTTATACTATTTAAAATATAATATTCATAAACCAATAAATTCCTTATGCTGTACTTGTAAAAACGACATTACTACGGTCCGACACACATTCTGGCGGAATGTGACAATTTGGACCACTTTTATATACACAGTTTGGTGTCTTACTACTAAATGTTCATGGGTGTACCTTTGCAGTTATTATGTATTATCCCCTATCTTTTTATTGTATTTTCTACTAGTAATCTTATTCTCAATTGATCAGGATGATGATTGTAATTTACTTTGTTATAAATATAAAATTTAGTATCTATTTTCAGTATGACTTAACAGTAAGTGAGTGAGAGAAAAAAAGAAATTTGAGGCTGAAATCCTCTCCTCTAAAAATATTCATCAATTGATTATTTCGTTGAAAATAATTTTTATATTTATATACTAGCGATTAAGTTACCTAGTTGTAGGCCTTTGCCTTTGATTAATAATAATGATTAAAAAAATTATCATTACTGCCGATTGTTTATGTCATGAAAGTCTAATAAATGGCAAGATAAATTTGCTCCAACATCATCCTTATTGACTGTGTTTAACCATTATTGTATACATATAGCTAAAAACAATTTTTTTCTTGCATACTAACAAGCTAAAAAAATCAATACTAGATTGAGGTTAAACTGACCTAATTTTTCATCATTGGCAAATTAATTTTATCACTAGAACTCGGATATATGACCTTGCATATTTTTTTATCACTACCAGAATTATATCAGACTATGATTTAAATTCGATTCATGAAGTCTATATTACCAATATTTAAACTTGTTTTGCATATTTTTGCATTTTTGACATTTTGAACGTTTTAGAATATATAAATGCATACAGGGTGTCCCACAGAGTCTGATATTCTGACAAATGAAATAACTTTTGTTCTAATCGATATTTAAAAAAAATTTCTTTTAAMTATGTATAATTCATAGACACTTGCGCTACATTTTTTATTTTTATTTTTTAATACTGAAAATAAAAAACTTAAAAATTGATAAAAWWTKTTTTCGAAATATTCAATATAGCCAATTTGTAAATCTGATTTTTAGAAAAATTTATATGGTAAAAACACTTATTT